GTTCACCAGCCCTAAACTATTAAAAAATACAGTTAATCTACAATGAAATATTTAGATATTGTAAGAAATACAGACAAACTTCAATTTAGTATCACCATTTATTTGCTTCTGAAATTGGTAGTAAATTGACAAGAAACATCATCCAAGTATCCTTTTCTGATTTTGATGATTCTTACATATATTTTAGAACATCAAAACCTAAGAGAGAGAATTTTTTTATTTGTATTTTGTAAATTTAGTTACAAAGAAAGACCCTGACAATGTAAACAACAAAAAAAAGGTTTCATTTAATTCTCCATATATGACTTCCTATGTAACTACAACAAAATTAATATATCTTTAGTAATTTTGGAAAGAAAAGGGCATAAGTGGACTTTTGATTCACCCTGTATATTGTAATGTGCATTAAGTAATGACTTCTATCAACATTTTCTATCACTAAAATAGTGGATATAATGTTGTAGGTGTTATTTCACTTAGAGGATTTTCAACAAAAACACAAACATGTGTAGGCCTAAACTTAATTCTGACCTACTTTACAATATACATTTTTCAAAAACTTTTGTTTAAATCATAAAATTTTTAAACATTTTGAAGAATTCATAGAGATGATTGACTCCCATAAAAATTTTTCTAAAAGTCAATAAAACTACATTTTTGATTACTCATTATAAGTATTTTCTTGTTGGTTTATTCAAGCTGAATAAGTATTTCTATATGAAAACTATAATACCACTGTTGGTAAGCCTAACTTTAATATCACCTCTTAAACATTTTCTGCTGATTACAAAACTAGGAGAAAGACATTATTTTTCTACGTTCTACAACATCTATAAAAATCATCAAAATCAGAGGAAGATACTTAGGTGATGTTACTTATAAGCTACAACACTTCAAGCAATAGAAATTGTGTAGACTGCAGTATTGTGTATAAACATTTAAATTTGAGAATTTGTCATGTAATGTGGTGATGATAATATCATGTTTAGTGAAAAATCGTATCTTTATTTAGAAGAGTTCTCTACTTAATATTTATGGAAAAATCCGTTCACAAGTACTCATTGACACTTTATGAGAGTGGAACAATATTGAAGTTTGAATGTAGAAAAAATATTTAGAAATGCTATCATCTCATCTATAATTTCTGCATCTGAGTTTCTGATTTGAAACTAATCAAAATACAGTAAAATCCATTTATTGTAATCAATCCCTGATTACAATTGCTATAGTTATCAGAATTAGCAAGTCTCAAAACCTAAGTTCAAACACACTATAAAACTTTTCTTATTGTAATCAGAATTCAGTTATAGATATCATTATCTTCAAATGAATGAACAAAAAACTATCTTTTTGTGTTATCAGTATCAGTCAAATCTTTAAGTAATACAATTTTTAATTGTTTTAACATATCCTTTTAATGTCAGAGTCAATAAAATAAAACCTGAATTTCCACTAATTATAATCTTACTTATTTATCCTGCTTAATGTTCTCATTTGGTTATTGTTATCAGTATACCGTGTTTCCCCGAAAATAAGACAGTGTCTTATATAAATCTTTGCTCTGAAAAATGCGCTAGGTCTTATTTTCAGGGAATGTCTTATTTTTTCCAGGAAGAAGAATTCACATTTATTGTTGAACAAAAAAATTCCCAAGTCAAACTTAGACGAGAGTGACGTATATCCAGTGTGTCAAACNCTTGTCCCTGTACATCATACTTTTCTTTTAACAATAGAGTCATGCTAGTCATCTATCTAACAGCTTTTGGGGAAAATTTTTGAATTGAAATTATATGACTTCTGGTTTGCATTGGAAATTTGCATATAGTTAATCAGGGCATCCTGCCCGTAATGTTTCCCTAGCTGGTCTTGTCTTTCATCTATCTAACTCTGCTCTCAAAATTAAGGAAAGCCAGACAAACAGACAGATGACAGTGGAAATTTATAGGTCTACAATATTTTCAAATTGCAGCCCAATTAATAGTTTTAATAAATTTTATTAATTTATGTAATTTTCTATGAGGTTTATTATACAGTAAAATCTGTAAAAGGACAAACTTCTAAGATGAACTACTGAAAGCCAGAAAATTAGTTACAGTAGAGCGTCATTTATCCGAAAGAATTCCAGTCAGCAAATTTAAATTTTCGCTAGTGCTGTGGCACTGCAATCTTTGGCTATATCTTGAGTTAGTTCAATACTTTTTATGTTTATGTATGTGTTTTAGCTGGCAGCACTGTCACTTTTGTGTGGTGTTTTCTGAGGACTGTGTGTCATGCTGAATCAAATGTTTTTGATACTAGATAATTTCTAAAGTATAAATTTTTTTTGTTTTTATATTTTTCAATATATTTATTTTGTTTGTAAAAAATAAAGAAATAATTTATAACGATACAATAGCCATGATTATTATTTTACATTAGGCTTAACATCGATGAAAATTCAATACAAAGCAACACGCAACAGAGAAAAATTTCAACACAGGATAGGTTAATTTATTTTTTCGTACATAATCAGTTATCTGAAAAATAAGTTATCCTGTGAGGACCCAAACGGAATCCGAAAGCAGGCCATTAACAACTTTTTAAATGAGTCAAGTTTCGTAGTGCAAAAGAGCGAACTTAAAGATCAGATTTAAACAATGAACCTTTTGTCTTGTAAAAAGATGTTAAACAATAGATAGAGTAAAGTCGAAGAAAACGAGGTTGGAGAGGAGTCGTGTTCCGCGTCGTTGACCTCTCCCGTGCCCTTCCTGGGGTTTCGAATTGTCACCATGTGACGAGGAGAGACCAATGGAGAGGCGACCGCGGTGGAAAAATCGATAAAACCGCGTTTTCGGGAACTTTACGGGGTCTTGGGTTTTGGTGCGTAGTGCTCACCTGTCGGGATTTGGTGCTCCCGACCGAGACACAACGAAGGCTCTTTCGACAACCTAGGAACTGGTTTCGCCAACCTGTCCACTCTAAGATCGCCAAGGTCACGTCCAGGATCGTCAAGGTTCGACTTGTTAACCGAGGACATCACTACAAGTGCTGGTGTGTGCCCCGGAGCCATCGTTCTCTGTGTGACAGTGCCGAAAGCTCCCCAGGGACCTATCAAACATTCGAACTTTCCGATTTTTGGGAACTGTTACCAAAATCCATCAAGGGATAGGATCTTGCCCGACTTATTGGAGTGTTGTAAGAACGATTTATGTATATTATTAAACGGTTTTATATGGTAAACCTGTCTTGGTGAGTCATTCCGCGCCCACGCGACAGTAATGACCATTCGGCTGTCGAAAACACCTCACCTCTAATTGGCAAACCTCACAATCCGAACAACCCCAGTACCCAATTGATTCGGATAAACGACACTCTATTGTATTTTTATCATCAAATTTCCCACAAAATATCCTGTCTAAAGTAAAACCTGTAGAATATGAACAAAAAACTTTATGCTATGTGCTGTACATCTGTGACTAGTTTGAACCTGTCAAGGACAAAACTTAAATGTTGAATCATAAAGGCTGGCTTAAAAAATAAAAATCAAATCTATCAATATTTTACTTACATAAAAACAGATTTAGGCTTAATGACACGTTGATACACAATGGTAATTACAAACTACAGTCAACAAAAAATTAATATTGAACACTGAGATTAATGTATTAAAGTATCTGTTTCATTTATTACCATCTGTTTTAAATGCTTACTTCAATTTGTCAACTGTTTAAATTTTCCATGAAGGAATGTTTTTGTCCTGTTTTAGGACAGAAAATTCAGCTTCTTAATGAATATAAGTCATTGTTCAAATTAAATTCAAACTTTGTATACTGTGAGATCTGAACGGTCAGGGAAGGATCATTTTAATTAAAATAATAAGTTGGAGAAAAGAATTTAAATAATAGAAAGTAATATTTTCAACTTCAACGAGATTTTATCTAAAAACGGAGGAAACATCAGATTTTTGAAAGGAAGTTGATTTCATTTACCAGACTAACTCAGGATGAGTCGAGTTTTTGCACACATTACGGAAGACCAAATAAAAGAACCGTTTTCCCGCCTTTCGAGACAGTCCATCAAAGTTTGCCAAACGGAATAAGTCCGACATTTGATAAGAAGCAGTCCATCAAGGAAAGGGTTTGCCATACGGAAGAATTTGATATACGGTAAGAAGCAGTCCGTTGAAGGAAGTTGGCCATACAAAGTAAGTTCGACATACAATAGAAGCAGTCCATTAAGAAGAGGTATTGCCATACAAAGAGAATACGAAACAAGTGATCGTCATACCAGACCGACAAGGCCATACTGGACCAATTAATTGAAGTATAAGTATACGACAAGATTGTCAAAGGAGAACCTCTATTCGAATAAAAGAAGAGAAATATTTAAAGAAGGCAGAAGATCCTCATACAGAAACAGATACGAAAAATATGGTGAAGGTAATATAAGCTCTGAATAGATCGATGTAAACTCTCTCACGCGTTAGGTAGAAATAAGATAGTTTAAATTAGATTTAGATATAAGTTAGATTCATCATTGTATATTTTTATTATTTGATTTATTAAATATTTTGATTTGTTTATAAAATGGCTTGGTTCTTATTAGACATTCATTTTCATTCAAGTTACCTTAGATCCTCCGAATCCCGAGTTTAAGGATAACACATGTTAATCCACATTTAAAATAACTGATTAACTGGTGTCAAGGAATCCTGACATAGATCTAGACTTCACAGTCCAGATCATTTTAAACATAATTAACAGCCCTCCTGGAAAAAGATTAGAGATTGAATCTCGCGATTCTGAGTTGTGTAAGTGGTACTCTTGGTTAGTATCCTCAACTAATCTCACAATACCATTTTTGACATATTGAACAATTTTAAAATGATACATTTTTATTCTAATTTTTCAAAACAAACCAAATGTATGCACAGTATTAACATCACTTCCCAAACCAGTTAAAGTATGATTTTTCATATTTTTCTTATATCAAACTGCTCCTTCATTCTGTCCTGCAAGCATTTAACTATATTCTCCCAATTTCTTGTTTCTAGTACTCCTGTCCATCTGATGTCCAGTTTCATTGAAATGCTCTTTGACACTGAGATTCATAAATCTATAAGTGGATCCTGTATAGAAAAATTTGTTACTCTGTTTAATCTGATTTCATCAACTCCTGTCTTTTTAAGTTCTTCCACTGCCTCTTTGTCTGTTTTAATAACTATCTATGATTTAGGGTAATCTTTTAATTACTACTTGAATGTCATATTTTTTTCACTAACAGTGCTATCATTCCTGCTGTAGTTTTGCTTGACATTATGCATTGCTTTTTAACTTCCTTCTTTTTTATTTCAGTTGTAGACTGTCTTTTAAGCCTATCAGTTTGATTTAGACAAGCTTTTTCATTGACCCTCATATCACTTTTTGGGAGATTTCATGCATATGTGCTGCATCAATTATTAACTGATTTCCTTGTTTTCTGTGCCAATGGTAGATTGAGTGAGTGCTTGCTATTTTCAGTAGGATTTTATATGCTGTCAGTTTATGAGCAATTGAATTGTTGAAGAATCAGTGAATATATGAACCGATGTTACCTGGCTTTTTGTACACTTTGATATAATATTGCTTTTCTGCTACAAAAACTGCTATGTCTGAAAAGTTCACTTCTGATGAACTTTTCTGATTCATTTTGAGAGTAATATCCACTCTTGGTATTAACTACTTCGGTGAAGTCCTTTACTAAGTGGTCATTGTTCCAAATAATGATTAGATCATCAATGTATCTACGAATTATTTTGATGTTATTTTTTTGTATTTCTTTACCACCAGTGCTTCTACCCAATCTACTGCTATTTTTGCTAGGTTACCTGACGGTGATTCAATTGGCACTCCCACTTCTTGCTTATAAAATTGTTTATTCCAGCTGAAATAAACCATATTCCTTTGTGGTAAATTTAAACAGTTGGCTACCTGAAATAAGCATAAAATACAGATAATATAAACCAGGGTTGTCCAACCTTTTTTCCTAGTGGGCCAAATTAGAAATTTAGGTATATTCAGTGGGACACAAAGGTACTTTATATAAATATATGCTTTAAAAGAAAAGTTTGAAATGCGAATATCAAATTTTAATAACAAATACATATTATTACAAAAATACCGTATTACTGACAGTAAAATAAGAAATTATATTCACACAAAATAAAAATAAATTCAATGCAATTTTTGACATTGCTTTCCTTTAATAATATTGTCAATATCTGCTTTTATAATATTAGTCTTAATTTTAAAAATGTTTCTTAAATGGGAATCACTCAACTTATTTCTTTCAGCAGTTTTGATGTTTATAATGCATGAAAAGAATTGTTCATAACAGTATATACACATCACATCACATGCATCATAGAACTCTAGATAAAACAGTTTTCTAACACCAATTATGTCATTATGACATCAAAGTGTATTCAGTGAAACAAGAATAATTTTCACGACATACTTTACCAAAATAAATGAGAATATACCTAAAAAATTTTGAGTGCAGTGGGTCGTGGATTGAACATCCCTGATATAGACCAGCAAAATACACCTTATGTTGCTGAAATAATTTATTTAAAGCTAAACTAACATTTTCAGCCTATTTAATCAGCCATCCTCAGGTTAAATGAGAAAATTAGAACAACTGTGTTCTAAAATAAACTACATAAATTTAAATACAAAAAGTAACAGAAGTAAAGAATATAACAAAAAATATATATATGTATATAAATATAAAAAAAACAAAGATCAGATATAATAATAAATATCAAGTAATAGCATTGTATATTAATATACAAAAATGTATCATTTAAATATTGTTCAATCTGTCAAAAAAGATATAAAAGTTTGAATTCAATTTGAACAGTGACTTATATTTGTTAGGAAACTGAATTTTCTGTCCTAAAACAGGACAAAAACATTCCTTCATGGAAAATTTAAACAGTTGACAAATTGAAGTAAGCATTTAAAACAGATGGTAATAAATAAAACAAATACTTTAATATATTAATCTCAGTGTTCAATAATAATTTTTTGTTGACTGTAGTTTGTAATTACCATTGTGTATCAACGTGTCATTAAGCCTAAATCTGTTTTTATGTAAGTAAAATATTGATAGATTTGATATTTATTCTTTTATGCCAGAATATACAAATATACACATCAATCAAAACCCGATATTAAGCAAATATACACCAGTCATTAATTATTAATAAGCACATAAGCATAAGCAGTTATACATTAATACACATACGCAGTCATTATGATTATTAATTTTAATATGAGACGGTGTCTAACGCCTCACTCTAGTGCCAAATTCATTTCTAATTTAAAATCATTATATCCAAATTTAGCCTGATCATTTATGGTAGTTGTGGGTGTATATTTTATAAAGCAGAATACTAAAAATGTATAACTAAAGCGTAAGTTAGTTAAAAGTTTTTAAAGAACTCCTAAGTATTTTCATGCAGATGGTAAATCTTCAGCGTCTCTTGCATTTATGCACGTATCTTGTAGCTTGCTCCTATAAATTTCAATTTTTTCTGCACTCATTGCTAAAGTTGGGAGTGCAAAGACTTAACAATATCAGCTTCCTCCAATTTTACTATAAAGCCCTCAGTCTGCACCATCTAAGATAATACTGTAGTATTGGATCTCTTCTTGACATTATATTTAAGCATGACTCCCAAACTTTTTCCCAAAATAATGTTCTTAAAAACAGTTTAAAAGTTGTTTTGAAATTTTCAAACTGTAAATCAAATAAATTTTTAAATTTATGTTATTTGTGCACAGCGGTGATGGAACATGTTGCTTTTTATATACACAATATAGATTGCTGGTCAAGCTGGCCCAATACCAGCTGGATTGCAACCCTAATGTCACTCTATCTCTCCTAGAAAGGGGACAGTTAGTACTGACCAAGTGCAATCTCTCACCACTGATTACACATAAGAAAAGTCCAGTGTGACAAATGTCACATCTCTTGTAAGGGGCATTGTGTACTCTCTGCTTTGTCAACACGAAAGTTTCCAATAACCTAATACTTAATTGTTAATATTGTAGTTTAAAAAATTTTAGAACTTCAATTGAAACAAATAATTTTCTTATTAAATGTGGAAGAATTGTTTTGAGAATTGATTGTGACAAGATTTGCTTCATTCCAATTACTGGAAAGTGCCTGATTTTTCCAATTCTTGATTCAGATTAATTGCTCCATCACTAATTACAAGAAACAGCAAAGACAGAAGAAAAGTCTTCTTTTCTTGTCTTTACTATTAAATACAAAATTTAAAAAATATAGCTTCAATCTGTCACCTAAAAATAACAAAATTATTTTTGTAAATGCCCCAAATATTTATGTAAAATACACTATATTATAACTGTCAAAATAATTAAAAAATAATTTTATTATGTAATATTATTATCTAATTTTCTTTTAAATAAATATTTTCTATATCTAATTCATTTCATTATCTTTAATGACTCAAAATTACAAAAAGGTATTTTATTAATTACCATCAGATCTTATAGACCTGAATGTAATAATTACAACATAAACACAACACAATAGAAAGATTAAAAATTAATAATTACATAAAATACATACTTCTGGACAATGTGGAACTCCAGGATCACTAATAACACAGACTAATAAATGATGAATAACAGAAAGTAATTCTTCTTCTGTTTTTTCACTATGATTTAATAAGGCCATTTGTAAAGTATTTAAAGTTGGAAGATTTTCCATATCTGAAATAAAACTAGTACTATAAATATACTTTGTAATAAAAAACTTAAATAATTTTATACATATTAAAAAATAAACTTTCAGATATATATTATATATAGCAGTGGTTCCCAATTAGTTTTTCCTGTGTACCACTTCAAGAAAGAGCTCAAACTTGCGTATCCCTTATAGCAGAAATTCATATTAATCTATACTAATATTATAAATTCGAAGGTAATGTCTGTCTGTCTGTCACCTTTTCACATCTAAACGGCTGAACGTGTTTTAATAAAATTTGGCACAGAGATAGCTTACATGTTGGAGAAGGACATAGGCTACATTTTACTGCGAGAAAATATCTTACTCCCATGAGAAAACTCGATATAATGTGGGCGAAGCTGTCTACCCACATTAGTGATAAATAGAATGTTTTTTTTTTTTACATTTATTACCTTTAAAATACAATTCTAATAATAATGAAAATAACATAAGGTTATTTAATTTTAATGTGACAAATGTGCACGATTTTCTTTGCACAACTTTGTAAAATCTTTTTGATCAGCTTCAGTCTCAAGTCATCTTCAAGTTGAAGTCGGTGATGATGTTTAGTTTTCATGTTTGTCATGGCTGAAAATCCGCTCTCGCAGAAATATGTTGTGCAAAATGGTAGTAAATATTTTACTGCTGCTTCATTGACATGATAAATGTCTTTTAGGTCAGCCCAAAAATTACCCAGTGATTGCACTGCAAAACAACTCTTGAGTCTGCTGTTGCATGAAATGTCTATTAATTCCTCTTGGTTAGAGATGGGAAAGTGGTCTCGGTGGAGTTATTTGCAATAGCAACAAAAATTTTCAAAATTAATTTTGCGAAAACAAATTGTGTTAATTGTACAATTTTTGTTTCTTGCGCAAGAATTTCATTTAGGTATTGTCGCAAATGCTTTTTTTTTTTTTGATGAAATTTCGAGAATATTTTTAGTTATAAATAAACGAATTTGTGAATTCAACATCATGTTGTAAATTTCCTAATTTTTGATGGTCTACCCATTATTTTTTTGAACTTCTATGCCGATGGTAAACTCTACATTTCTTGCATTAATACATTTATCCTCCATACAGCTTTAATACAATTTATTATCACAAATTGAAATATTATACATTTCAATTTATATTAACATCAGTGGCGTAGCATAGTGGGGGCAGCAAAATTTCACAATAAATAATAATAATAACATCTTGTAAAAATTTGAATTGTTTCATTTCATATTTTTGTCACACCTACGATTTGAACTGATTGAAATGAGCACGGAATTTTTCATTATTTATTCTGTGACGAAATTGAATTTTAGTCTTTTAAATTGAGATACCTAAATAAGGGGATGGTGAAATTTTCGTCTGCCCTGGGTGGCTGACATCCATGCTACGCCACTGATTGACATAAAAGTTCATTAAAAAAAAAAAGCTTCTTTATATGAATTCCTAGTTATCACATTTATTAAGATATATTTTGTATTTAAAATTTACAATTCTAGTTTTATTTTTATTTTAGAATTTAATGTTATTTTTAGATTACTGCCAAAAAATTAAAAAAAAACTTTTTTGTGATGTTTTTATTACTAACATGTTGATCATTTGTATCAAATCACATCACACACAACAATTATTCAAATAATAAATACAATTGGGCAATCAACAATAGTCATAAGGTATGTTCAAATAATTATAAAAAATCCCAATGCTCTAAAATAACACACAAAAATCTCATAATTACTATTTGGTTCTGTCACTATTTTTATTTTTACTTATCAACTCAAAAACTTGATTCTTCATGGAATTGATACGATTTTGGCTCCCATGCTTCCATGATTGTTACCTTACATTCATTAACTGTGCTAAACTGTTGTTCACCACTGTAAATGTTTTCTGCAAGAAGCCCCAAAGATTCTCAATTGGAGTGAGATCTGGGCTGTATGCTGGCCAAATCTCAATCCAATTGAGAATCTCTATGTTTTCAAAAATAATATTATAATATCTATTATCTTTATCAGAAAGAAAATGGTGTATAAATGAACTCAATAATGAAAGTAAAGTTATAAATGCAATTTTTTACTACTAAAGAACCAGGAATGTTTTAAGACTAACATTAAACAATATACAATTTAATCTACTTAACAGAGCATTGCATAGGGGAGCATTTAACTTAAGAAAACTGTCCCATGTTTCTAATTTTCTTCTCCATGTATTACATTACTGGGCCTTGCTGTTAACAGAGCACTGGATAGTAGGACAATCTGTTTAAATGAGTGTCACGTCAGCAGCATTTATACAGTAGCAATCTGCACTATTCTAAAGAAAATTTATAAAAATGTTTAAAAAAGATTTTTAAGAGTTATAAGAGTATGGTACATTGACACACATGAACAGGGTAGTATAGGCCATAGTATAGGTAACAGAACACACTATACTGTGGTACATGTAATGAAGAGATTTGGCTAAATCTTTAATGGTCACTTTACTAATACATAGACAGTCAAAGTATTTCTTAAAGTTGTAATGAAGAAGTTTTATTAGACATATGAGAAGCAATTAATTATTAAAAAGTTATCATAATATGCATATAGTATTGCCTCATCTTCATATTAAATGGATGAAGCAATAAGTTATTAGGACCAGATTTCAAAGGTCATATGACCTTACTTTAAAGTAGGAATGTACTGTACTTATTTGTTTTTATACTGTATGTCCCATTAGAGAGCATTTAGAAATTTTGAAAAAATGATGGTCATATCCTTTCCAATAAGCCACCTAGTGTTTTTCTAGGAATAAGTAAGTAATGTGAGTGGTAAATATATTTTATTTACTGATATAAAATGTTTTGTAAAACAATAAAATTGATGATATAAGAATGAAAACTAATATGTAAGTACCATAAAATTATGAAATAATGAATTTTAACATATCTAAGCCAGTTATAAGTTATATAGAGCTTCTAAAACATAAAACTGGACAGAATCTAATACCATTAACAACCTTCTGAGTGATCTTGTTACTTTAGGTGAGCAGTCCTGATAAGGGAACTTGAACAAGCAATACCAAAGATGCTCTCTTAAGTGGACTTGACCATATAAATAATGCTCCATTGCATATTATTAACTTTAAAACTAGCCAAAACTGACAGGAAATATTTTTGCTTACTCCATTCTGAAAAAATCTGTATAATTTGCAATATAATACTCTAAATAATAAAATTTCTTTATATATCATTAATTTGTAATTTATAAAAAAATGTAAATAAAAGTTTCAGTGTAATATAAAATTATAATGCAAATAATGTCAATAACATTTTTTAAAATTATTATTCCCAAGAAATTTTTAGTCACTGACAATTCACATTAACTATTAAATAATCAAAAATTCTACAGTGAATCTGGTTCATTATTTATTTCTTTTAATTATACATCCTCTGTCATAAACATATAACTTGAATAAGGTCCATTCATGAATAAGGAAATTTACTTCATTTTCCCATTGTTTTGTTGAATATTTTATAGGTATTAACTTATAAAATATTCAATGAAACAATGGAAAATTACAGTAAATAAAATATACAAAAATTTAAATAATCATAATTCACTGAATATAAAAATTTAACATATTTTACCAATAATGTTAAAAGAAGTTCAAGAACATTAAATTAATTTTTAAATAAGAATATAATTGTTTTATTTTCTTTTTATTAAACTTAAAACAAACAAATTACATACAGTTTAAGTATGTTTCTTATTGAAGTTTTCATCATTATCTTAACTAGAAATTAACAAACTAAAAACTTACCAAAACCAAGTGTTTCACCGAAGTTGTGAAGAAATTCAAATACCATCATAATATCAGCAAAAGCTTTTCCTGCTAATTTAACACCAGGAATGCGATTCAAAGTGGGAAGTGGCTGGAAAATTTCATATTTTAAGTATATAACTTAAATTTATGATAAAAATCTATTTACATTATTAGTTGAATTTAATTCTTATATCAAAATTATTTTAGTTATTAGATTATATCATACTAATTCAATTAAGGAAGAAAAAAGATATCATTTCAAAGTAAACAAAAATATTTTAAATGTAACATAATTAAATATAATACTGAATATATTCTAATTAAAAATTTTTTCATATTTTCTTTTGATTTATTGGTATTAATTAGTTACAATAATTTTTTATAATTATTATAAATTAAAATTAAATCATAAAATTAATATTTAAAATTAATTACATACAATATTATCTTTCAAGCACATATCTTCAATAGGCTTTTTCATTTCTCTTATCATTTGTAATTCTAATCTTCTTTGTTCCTAATAAATAAAATATTAAATATATTTTTAAAAAATAATTTTTTACTAAAAATATTTAAAATCTATAAATGTCAATCAACATAATATTTTTACAAATACAACTATAAAACTGTTAGTTAAATGTTCGTTTCTCTTTAAAACATTCATAATGAATAATTTAATCATTTTTATACATATATTTGATATTCATTCTAAACAGAGAGATGTTTTTCAAATCAATAATTAAAAACTGAATAATAGGTGCTCATTAAATTTATACTAAATGAATTTAAAATATTTTTATATTGATTTGTTTTAAATTGTGATTCTGTTTTAATGCTTCATGATTTTATTGTTTTTATAAACAGAATAGCAAATTTACAAGAAGATATGACAAAAAATACATAAATAAAATAAAATAAAAATAATAATATATTCAACAGCAGTTCTGGATTTGAAGCTACAATTAATTAATTCTGATATGAAAGTAAATCAAAAAATATATCTTTTTTTTCAATTAGAGTGAGATGTATATAAATTAGTGTTGCAATGAATAGTATATTCAGCCTCAGGCCGAATATTCCCGAAGCGTGGCCGAATATTCGAATATTTGGCCAAACTATTCAGATTGATTAATGCACGTATGAAAATTGGCATGCAAACCTCATTATGGCAAGGATCCTTGGTCTGTATTGACTTGCTGTCACTACGCTTCGCCAATTGCGTTAATTCTTGACAGTTGTAGCAGACAGACAAGAGCATCAAGGCAGTATATGATAAGTGATGATATCAAATGTGGATAACAATGAAATGACCTACATGTGTAAATAACAAAAAAAGAAGAGAGAAGGACCGCAAAGTGAAAATGTGAAAATAAATATGAAATTCAGTTGATAATATGATCAAACAAGTCTAAGCAGCTTATTGGCATGAAATTTGTGGCCGTCAATGCCAAACAATTGTTGTCATAGACTTCAAAAAGCTAAATGATTGTAATAAAAGTCACTTAGCGTGCATGGGCGAAAGCCTGGGGCTGTTCGGGCTACCAAGCTGTCTCAAATCTGTCTCTTTTCTCCGTTATCACCAAGCTATGAGTCACGTAATTATAAAATGGAAAAACTACGACGGAAAAGTGACGAAGCAAAAATATCGCAAGCACGTTTTATGATGTATGCATAGGCATACGTGGACTAGAGAGATGGAGGAAAGAGAAAGGAAAGAGCAAAGACAAGCGCTTAAAAAAGGATAGAGAGGGTCAGACCCTCACATGTGTGTGACGTTTCTCGAACAAATAGGTGTGTACGTGTGCTGATCTTTGTAATTATAAATTGTGAATACATGTGACTAATATTGTTTTTTTTTATTATTTTGTGCATGTTATAAGTTATAAATAAATATAAACAAACAACACTAACCCAACAACATTAAATCTAAATACCAAAATGATTAATTTACTGTGTTTTTGTTATTTCTTACTCCTGTTTTAGGTATTCGGCTGAATAGTGATTAAATATTCGGTATTTGGCCGAATAGTGAAAAATAGGCTGAATACCGAATAGTAACCGAATATTCGTTACATCACTAATATAAATGTTAAAACTAGAATCCAGTTATGAAAACAAGCTTTGAAAGTTTAAATGAAATGTGCCAGCGGCACCACTATATTACTTGATGTCATACAAAAAGTATTTTTAAATAAAAACTCTATTTAGACAAACATTGGAATCAATATTGATCATTTCTACAGATTTAAATAAAAATCATTCTAAAATTAAATCTATTTTCTGTCAAAAAAAACTGGCAATTAATTTATTACCATCATCATATTCTTATTTAAAACAAGTTTTTATATCCCAAAATCTTGAAAATCATTCAAAAATATGTGAATGACAAATACAACTGTATTGTATATTTGTTTCAACATTTCATAAGTTTCAACTATATTTTAAATCGTGTTAAAAATTAGATATTTATTTATTTTTAGCACATCATTACAAATAATGAAAAAGATTTTGAAAATACAAAATCAGCACTTCCAAATTATGAATAATACACAAATAAACTTGCAAAAGAAATAAATTGAACTAGTCAGTTATAATAAATAGTGTGAATCACATATTTACATATTATATTCATTCTTTGAATTCAAATTAATTCCTAACTTTGTATTATGACAGGTTTATTTGTATTTGAGATATATAAATCTAGCCTTACTGGCAGATGTTTAAATTACAAAGATGCCACGGGTTACCATCAGCCTGGAAATATATCAATATGATCAAGAATAGCTCATTAAAATCTAATCCATAATGCATTGTCAATGTAATTCTATATATTGTGTTAATATATTTGTATTTATTTTATTTTATTTATTTTAATTCATTCAGTTTCATGTACATATTTTATTGGTTATATTTTCATATATTTTGGTATTTTGACAAAATATTTGAACCTCTTTGAATTTGAATTTGCTATCACATATTTGTTTGAAATATTTATAGAACGATTATAAATATTCCAAAAAATTTAAAACCTGACGTTGGCCTGTAGATCAGGTTGAAAACATTTGTTTAAAGCAATAAAGTTATTTCTCAGGGATATAAGGTGTGTTTGTCACAATACTTATGTTTATGTTTTTGTATTTATTTCAAATGAAATATTTATTTTACACAGATGAAGTCTTAAAAAACTTTTGCATTTATTTCAATGTTAAACATACTTTCTTATCAAAGGAGTGATGCCCGAAAAAGATAATTTACTGGGCTGCAATTTGAAAAAATTTTAGACCTATAAATTTCCACTTTCATCTGTCCATCTGTCTTTCCTTAATCTCGAGAATGGAGTTAGATAGATGAAATCCAAGACCAGACATGGAAACCTTAGGAGCAGGTGACCCCAATTAACTATATACGAACTTCTAATGCAAACAGGAAATCAAGTTATTTCAATTCAAAACTTTCTCTAAAAGCAGTTAATAAATGACTGGCACAACTCTATTGTTAAAGGAAAAGTATGATGTACAGGAACAAGCCACTACAGTAATAATATGGAGAAGGAAAGCATCTATTTTAAATGAAAAAAATTGTAGCTTTGCATTGTGACAATGTCACAATAAATAATTGCTTGTTATTTATTTATTTAAGTAAAAAAAAAAAACTCTTGAGTTATTTGTGTTTGTAATTTTATGTTAAACTAGCTGCAAGGACCCACTTTTTATTTGTTCATACACCCGGGTTTTTATTTGTTCGTACATTTGTATGTAATATAGTTTTTTTTATATATATAAAAGACTGTTTTTCTAAGTAATCTAGAATCTAGCTGCAAGGACCCGCTTCGCTGGGTTTTTATTTGTGGGCAAAAAGTAACAATAGTGAAAATTAAAATAATTACATTATAGCCAATCTTACCCGTTTTCACAAAATGCAAGAATTAGGTCTCCCGTTTCTGATTAGAGATCTGGTCCTGATTCTATTTCTGAATGTCTCTTGTTCACGTCAAGTCAAACGAACTATTTTCAACATTTCTGGAACATTTACAATCGTTCTATAATTGAACCAATATTCGAATTTTATGTTCGAATTTAATTCGAACAAGACATTCAAAATAGAAAGCCACTTTCAACAACTTTCAGCCTCTTATCTCCCGCACCCTTATAGCTATCGAGACGCAACCACCCCTATGCACGAATGGAGACTTGGGGCTACCACCACATACAAACACCATTCACGTGCGATGTGTAGTTTTGGCAGAAAAGTGAAATATAGGGACATACATGTCCATTTTTATATATATACTAGCTGCAAGATCCCGCTTCACTAGGTTTTTATTTGTATGTAATATAGTTTTTTTTTTATATATAAAAGACTGTTTTTCTCAGTAATCTAGAATCTAGCTGCAAGGACCCGCTTCGCTGGGCAAAAAGTAACGATAGTGAAGATTAAGATAATTACATTATAGCTAATCTTACCCGTTTTCACAGAATGCAAGAATTAGGTCCCCCGTTTCCAGACTAATTAGAGAATTTTTACGTTTAGTCAAACGAACAAATTTCAACGTTTCTGGAACGTTTTCAATCGTTCTATAATCGAACCAATTCGAATTTTATGTTTGAATTTAATTCGAACAAATTCGAAAAAATCGAACAAAACATTCGAAATAGAAAGCCACTTTCAACCACTTTCAGCCCCATATCTCCCGCACCTTTATAGCTATCGAAACGCAACCGCCCCTATGCACGAATGGAGACTTGGGGCTACCACCACATACAAACACCATTCACGTGCGATGTGTAGTTTTGGCAAAAAAGTGAAATATAGGGACATACATGTCCATTTTTATATATAGATATAGATATATAGATAATATTCTTTCATTTCAATAAGAGCTTTATTCTAGAAATCTCCAAGTTCAAAAACAACTGACAATTAAACAATATATTTAAAAAAATAAAAGTGTATAAAAACAACTATAATGTTGATATATTATATATTTTAACAAAAAAAAAAGGATTTTAGTTCTAACTCCTATCAATAATTACACATCCTTCTGTTATAAAAAGAAATAATCATTTAATAAATTTTTTAAACATAGTGATAACTAAAGATATTTAGAATTCAAAACTTTCCACAAACCTAATGCACTTATTAGTTTCCTCAATTACATCTTCATTCCAATATAAACATTTTCTTTTACTGGTAACCAAAATTTCAACCAGGAGAGTTTGTCCATTGGCTTTGATATATTAAAATATTTGAAGGCCAAAGGATTTAACAGTCAGGCTTTTATTTTTAATAAATTAATTATGAATAGTCTTTCTCCATATTTAGAATTAAATCTCAATAGTTGGTACAATCAAATTTGCTAACTTAAAATAGCTACTGATGAATGTAATTAGACTTTCAATGATGATTCTTCACAGCTAGTATTTTTAAGTTTTATAAAATATACAACTTTTTCTTCTTTTTGAAACTGGTTTTCCAATTACAGATTTCAATTCATGTGATATCTGTTGCAAGTTTGCA